CCCCTCTGTACCCGACAGCTGGCTTGTTGGCTGAGGGGGCGCATGCAGGGCCTGAAGGGGCAGCTCTTCATATAGTGACTGGTGCGGAGCACCACGTTGAGGCGAACAATCATCAATAATATTGATTCCTGCATACCTGGGTATTTCTATTGCCCCTGTCTCTAAGGTATCTGAGAGCTTCGCACATGTAAATGAGTTTATTGTCCTGTCACCCCTGTAAAGAAGTATTTTATACTTATTTTACAGATGGGGAACCTGAAGCAACTTGTTCTAGTGTCACTCAACAAGTTAGTGGCAGAACTGGGAATAGAAATTGTGACTGTCCTTTTCTCCTCTCTACTGTTCTGTCTACCAGACAGCTCCTTCTTTCAACCATACACTGCTCTCAAATGATGCATATCCATTCAGAATGCAACTGCAAAGATCATTTTTTTAGCCTGTTGCTTTGACAATGTCACTCCTCTTTGCATTCCTCCACTGGCTTTCCCCTCTCTAGCACATCAAACATAGACTGTTTATCTTCATTTTCAAGGCTTTCTGCAGTCAGTTCCTGCTCTGTGTACCATCTGTTATATGCTGTTGAGCTGTCAATGCTCACTTCCACTAGTTTGAAAGCCTAGCATGAGCCCTGCAAGCCCAATTCTGTTAACCCAGGCTTAGAGGCTCACTGCTGCAGGCTATATAAATGTTCACATTGATTTCTATGACACTGCTTAATTAAACAAGTGTAAGTGTATGTAGAATTGGGATCTGATACTGTAGACTATACTTAAAATGCAGTTCTGCTCTGAAAACTAATTTGCCTTACATAAAAATATTATAGCAAAAGCATTTTACTGCTTTACATTTTATGTTTATTTTAGAGACAATATTGGATTCTGCAGTGAAATCAGAGTTTAAATATTAAGGATGGAGCTAGCTCACAGTCTGTTGCTAAATGAAGAGGCTTTGGCTCAAATAACAGAAGCAAAGAGGCCGGTCTTTATTTTTGAGTGGTTGCGGTTTCTGGATAAAGTGATTGTAGCTGCCAACAAGGTAACTTTATTTCTCCTTCTCTATTTTGCTTTTTAAAACAATTTCAGGTTAATGTCATGCACAGGAAAGGTTCAAAATGAATATCCATCACAATGGCACTAGTATCTGGGAGCCAAACCACAGAGTGACTATAGGTACGCCCCTGCGTAAATCACAATTTCATGGAATGTACAGAAATCATGAAAATGTCTCTGACTGTGATCTTAAGAAAAGTCTACAACTAAGTCTTTTAAATAATAAAGTACCGTAGTCAGTTTCAAAGATGGAATGACTCCTTGATATTGACTAACATTATTTGTGAAATTCATTCTGTCCTTGAAATTTGACTTAATGCTATTTGTAAACTAATTCCATGAAAACTCCACGAAATTCAGTATTTTGTCATTTGCATTGTCCTGAATTTTTCTAAAAAAAAATTTTTAAATTGTGATTTACATAGAGTCCTAACTATAAGTGTATATATAAACTTCTGTCTATCTTATAGTTTTGTAAATATCTGTGCTTATTTGCTTATTGTTACCTGTGCTGAGTCTGAAATTATAGGCTTACAAACTAAAATACTTAGTAGGATCTATAGTTCTTTGGTAATCAAGCTCTTCTCTTCTAGTGTGGGGCCTTTTCAATGGTGTGGGGAAAGAGATGAAAAATGGCAATGGATAGTCCTTGGAGCTTAAAGGATCCTTTGTGAAGTAATATTGTATGGTTAATAAATAATATATGATAAAAACAGTAAGAACTCAACAATAGCAACCTTGTATCTTTCCATTTAGCATTTGTATGTGCTAGTGTTCACTATACTATAGCATTGATTGTTTTGGATTGAAACAAACAAAAATCTACATGAAGGTTGTGGGAAACAGGTAGAAATTACACCTGAATGGAGAAACTATATTAACACAAATTTTCCTTTAACAGATAGATGTCAAGGAAAAACAAAAGAAGCTTGTGGAACAACTTACTGGACTCATTAGCAGTTCCCCTGGGCCACCCACACGGAAATTACTAGCTAAAAATCTTGCTGCTCTCTATAGCATTGGTGATACATTTACTGTCTTTCAGACAATTGATAAGTGTAATGACATTATCAAGAGTAAAGATGATACTGCTGCTTATTTACCAACCAAATTGTAAGTAAAATGTTGCCTTAAGAATTGTGAATGTTTGCTATTAATAGAGCATTTAATATATCTGCATTAATCTGTATGTGTATGTATCTGTGTGTTATATACATGTATGCATATATAATATATAAATAAATGAGACATAATAGCAAGATTGGAAGCATGGAGGAAAGGAATTAGAGCTAACAAAAATTGATATTACTGTCTGGATTTGAAGAGTGTTTTTTCCAGGCAAGGAAATATTTCCTAATCTGGGCTAATTTTTACATGTGTGTGTCATCCAGAGGTCAGCTATTGCCTGACGGAATAAACGTTGAACAAATTTCTTTACTTAGAATTTTTCAGTTATTTATAGGCACATTCTGACTGCCAAATTAAATGATGCATAGGAAATTACAGGCTAGCCACTAACATGGACTTTATCTTTTTAAGAGTGTTCATTGTTTGTATTTATCTAAAGTAGCATACAGTATGTATCTCTTGAATAAATAATCTCTGTGCTCTGTGTTTGTTTAACATCAGCTCACATTTCAGGTATCCTAGTACAGTGATTCTCAGCCTTTTATACAAAGGGTCCTTAATGAGGAGTTATGTGCTCTGATAAATTTGAAATGAACAGCTGGTTGGATGATGATGCTGTCAGTGATTGAAAAATTATTGCTGAGCCTTCTCAGTTGTGTCTGTTAAAAATTTTAAGCTAAGAAAGCCTTGTTCCTTTGTGATATCAGTTTACACATTCTCATGGACCTGGTATACACAGGATCTGCTTCTGTCACGCTGGTGCTGGAACCATTTGTATGTCTAGTGGAAATATAAAATTGCTTAAAATCATTGCTACCTCAACCCTCCTCTTTTGCTCCCACCCTTCCAAACAAACAAAACAAAACCCAACCCAAAACAGAAAACCTCACTCTAACCAACCCAGTTATTCTAGTACCTGAAAAAGAGTGAAAGGAAAAATGTGGGTGAAAAAATTGACTGAACAAATGATTTTAGCATATCTAAATTTAACTGCATTGTGCAGCATTCTACACATTTTGAGCTTGTATGTTGTAAAACAACTTAAATCTTTTCTCAATTGACAGGGCATATGTAACAAAATGTGAGTAACATACTTCTCACCTGTTAACTCAGTTTTGCTGCTGTCTGGCTGAACTCCAATTTCTGCACCATTTAAGGCCTTAATCCTTCAAAGATTTAACTATATGCTTGACTTTACAAGGATTAGGACCTATGGACCTATGTAGCATTAGGACCCACGGAAAAAATCCTGCCAACGAATCCCCCACAGAAGCATCCCTGTTTGCATGTAGAGCCCCCTCTTCTCTGATTTAGGTTGAGCTACATATAAACAACCAATGTAATGACTGAATAGTTAATAGAAGATAATTAACAACAGAAAGAAGTTTATTTTTTAAATGTATAGTTACTTCTAGTTGGATGCTTCCATTTAAGTTGTATGTTAAACTTTAACAAAAAGGTTACTAAGAGGCATCTTGTCTTTTTAGGGCTGCAGTTGCATGTGTTGGAGCTTTTTATGAAAAAATGGGCAGGATGCTGGGCAGTTCTTTTCCAGAAACAGTTAATAATCTCTTAAAGTCTCTGAAAAGTGCAGAGGTAAGTTACAAGGGTATTGTAGGGCTACACATTTAGGGCTTTTTCAAAGCCACAACGATCTTCTTAGTTAAAATGTCTTCACAGTTGTTCACTGTACTGGGCATAAAGATGCTATCTATTAGGGATATGAAAGTGTATATGGTTACCCGATGGGCCTGGGCTTATTGGTTAACCTTCATGGTTACATGCAGGCTCCTGGTATGCGTAGGGAGATGGCTTAAAAACTGCCTTCCCATGTGCACTGGCTCCTGGGGAGCTGCCTGCCCCCCTGTGTGTAACCACTGAAATTTTCAGCAGTTACATGGTTACTCAATTACATGCATTTTAACATCTGTCCTATCTGTATAGTTCCGTGGTCCCCAACACGGTGCCCGCGGGCCTGGCCCCGGGCACATGGCGCGCGGCGCTTGCGGGGGGGAGGGGGAGCGCCGGCCATGTGCACTGGCTCCTGGGGAGCTGCCTGCCCCCCTGTGTGTAACCACTGAAATTTTCAGCAGTTACATGGTTACTCAATTACATGCATTTTAACATCTGTCCTATCTGTATAGTTCCGTGGTCCCCAACACGGTGCCCGCGGGCCTGGCCCCGGGCACATGGCGCGCGGCGCTTGCGGGGGGGAGGGGGAGCGCCGG